TGGATTATGAAATTTCCTCCTCTCAGTTGATGTTTGCATCAGCCTATATATATATATATATATATATATTTTCTCAAAGGCACTGTTCTTATGCAAACCTTTCTAACATTCATAAAGAAGTGTAAGATGGCCATTTAAGGTCATAACTATAATTGCTCCACCTGAAATTTAGATATTCCATCACCAACAAAATTAGAAAAAGAAAAAAAAGTTGATTAAGGGATCAGACACAATGAGACATGATTTCACAGCAATTTTATGAATCAATAGTTCAACAAGAAAAATATTTTTTTTCCTCTCTCCTCACCTTTGCTAAAAAATAAAAAAAAAAAAATTGTGGATCATTTTATTTCATTTATATTCCACATTCAAAATTTGAAAAAAAATTAAGTCATTCAGTCCCCATATATTAACAGGCATGTAACCGCAATTATATAGAAGTTTTTGGCTGCTGAGTATCAACATATTTGGAAAGTTAATTGCTAAGTACACATTGAATCTTTGTCTTATTTCAACTTCACCAGTGCTTTGTGTTAGTGTGTTGGGGGGTGGGGGGATTTGAGTGACCTAGTAGATACAGTGTTGGCAAGCAAAGCTAAAAAGGACGGTCTCAACTCCACTACTAGGTAATATTTTGTGTAAATGCTCATTGGATATGAAAGTGTTATCACTTTTTTTTTTTCTCTCTCAATGCTGATCATTGTAAAATAACAAAACTATACAACTTGGAGAAATTGTAATTCAATACAATCTTAAATTGAGTCAATGCATTAGATCAATATTTACTTATTTTCAGTTCAAGAAATGTTATGTTATTGTAGAAAATTGGTTAAAGATTTTTTTTTTTTTTAATTTCAAGTATTTGATTTTTTAGAGAATAAATGCAACCTAAATGAAGGTGGGATTTACTATAAGATGAGAATTATCTGAATACTTTGAGTAATAATCTACACTTCTCAATATATATGTCAGTATTTGAGAGATAAGGTATCATTACTTCAAATATTTCAATCAAACCATCATATATCTGATCATAACATTTTAACACATACAAAATTTGCTCATATGTATAAACACTTCTTTAATTTATCAATATTTCTTCTAGAAAAAAAAAAACTTTATCACTCTGTGACTTTCAATTCAAGGTACAGTAGTTCAAATTGATTTTTAATTCTCTTGCTCTGTCAATACTTAATGTGTTGACAAATTTCAAAATACAGCAGGCAGAAATGGCATAAAGACTAACCCTTAATAGCTGAACAACTGGTATTATAATGCAACACAGAAAAGCTGAACTCACATGATCAACATTAACTGCTTGCTTCCTCATTTTTCAATAAATTATCAGACCTTTATAACAGGAAAAACTACTTCATTTTATTTCCACAGGAAAATTTCCTTTTTCGGCTTTGATGGGTAATCAGTTTTGGGATAAAAAAAAAAAAAGTATGATTTAAATTTTTGCAGATTACCTTTTGTTAGACCTTCTTCAAACCACAACATTTGTCTGAATAAAAAAAAAATTTTTTTTAATCATTTTAAGGGCTGTTCATATAATGTCAAATCAATGCCCGACTCCATAAAGAGTTTTTATTTACAAAAATTAAGTTTTAATATTTTCTGTTTATACATTATTTTTATAAATACAAATGCTCTGTTTATAATAAACAGCATTAACTACATTTACTGGCCTGAATGTCCAAGACATTCCATAAAAAATATGTCCTAACAGGAATTGAACCTGTATCCTACACGGAACTGTCATATACCCTGATGTGCTATACTATTTAAGTGTTTGGTTAGCAAAGTCAAATTAATTTGCTAACAAGACACTTCCTCTGTAGCTAAATGGTACAGCATGTCAGCCTATACAGGTTCGATTCCTGTCAGAGGACATATTTTCAATTAAATTTCTTGGACATTCAAGCTAGTAAATTTTCATAATATACATTGTTTGAAACTGTTCTTATGACAACTACATACTAGTTCTTCTCCCACTCAATTCACAATAGTACATATTTATTATTGACATACAGTTTCAAAGTTGGCATTTGTGAATAAAAACAATATACAGAAAACTCTTTATAAAGCCTGGGATTGATTTAACACTATATTATGAACAGGCATCTTTTAAAATAAAATAAAAAATCAAGTTTGTTTTTAACAAATGCCATAGCTTGAGGAATAATTTTTTTTTTTTTTTAACCTGCAGACCTTAAATTTAAGTAATAGTAAATAAACTTCACTGGTTAACTTATTTATATCTGTTAGTTTTATATAGAGAATCTCATCTTATAATTAAGAATTTATTTAAATACCTTTGTAAACTATGGAGAATGACTTCCATCTCAAAATCACTTAGCATCTCTATTCCTATTTTCCCCTATTAACATTAACTCTGATCAATAAGATTTAGACAAGTAATAACCTGTGACAAAAATGCTATTAAAAAAAAAAAATTCTTTATCAGTCATTCATTCTTATCTCCCCTATTTGAAATAATGAGATCCCACCGTTATAGAAGCAGAAGGTATTATTCAACACAATAATTGAATGTTTCATGGTAATATAATAATGGAATATCTCATTAGTAAGTAGGAGAGATTATTGTTTTGCTTTTTTCATTTCTTTGGAATTTAATTAATTTTTCTTTTAATGGAACAGAATTCTTTCTTACAATGTAACAACAAAATTAACTGTATAAATAAAAATCCAAGATGATTCATGCAGAAAGTATAGCCAATATTACAGAAAAATGAAATATTGCCATCATCTTTAGACAGTATGAATAAACACTAGCGTGTGTATGTATATATATATATATGCATGCTCTGTATATTTTATATATCTACATTGAGCACTTTGTAGCATATATGAACTAATCTTGTATATGACTTTACACTCAGGTGCCAAATAAGATGGGTGGGGTTATAAATGGTGGAGAAATCAGAAAACGTAAATGGGGAGGTGTTGAAAAAAAAACAAAGAAAAAACAATGAAAATCTAATATGGGGTTTCAATAACTGGGATGTTTGGGGAGAAAAACAAAAGTTCTTTCAAAACTAACAAGATCTCAAAAAAATAAAACTAAAACTAAATGCCCATCAAAAAATATTTCTTTGATGAAATCTTACCAACATCACAATATAAATAAGAGCACAAATGGTCAACAAATAAATGATACATCTCCAACATCCAAAAATAACGTCTTAAAATGCATTAATGAAATCAAAAATCTTTTCATAATGTTCATTTTCCATCTTGTTGACACAATCTTCTCTCCTTCCTTAATTGGTCCCTCAGACTTGTACTCTTCTCTCCCTCGTCTAGTGGTCCCTTGGTCCCATACACTTCTTGTAACCTGTTTGTTAAACTGAACACATGACATAACTTCACTAAAAGAAAGTTTACAGTGCAATCATTTCTCACTATATTACATTTCAAAACAATATTTTCTAGCAATCTATTAAGCACACTGACTGTGAAAAGTCAAATTAATAAGGGTTTTCCTAATAATCACTGGGGTGGAGTGAAACTTATTTGGCGCCTGAGAGTATGTATAGTAAAAATTCAACCTATTGCTACTCTGCCTGGCCCTATTTTTATGATTAATTTTCATCAAATCTGTTAATGATCAACATGAAAATAACCAGATGTAAATAATGAGAAAATATGATTTAATGAATTAGACAAGTTGATATTAAAATCAAAACCAAACTTATCTTTATTTGTCCTCAGTTCAAAAGTATTGAGCTTTGAGTCAACCTCATTATTCCTTATGAAAAAAAAGCACAAAAAAAAAAAATCTAATAAACAAAATGTTAAAATAGATATAAAAATAGATCACAGCAACCATTTTTCCTATTCTTTCTATTTGAAAGAATTTTTACAGCTGATCATCTAAAAGACAGAAGATTGTGCTACAACATATCATAAACTCTCCTTCTTCAGCAAATAAGTACAACAGTTGCCATGCCCACCCCACCAACAGCAAACTCCTGAATGAAGATTTACAAATTTAATGATGATATCTTATATGGTGCTTTGGGATTATCTTTTATCCTATCAAACTTTAGAGAGCAACTTATTAACATTGCCTACGTGATTGATAACTAGTAATAAATGGTCTTCATTTTTATTCACGCAAACTGCAACTATTGTTTACCGGTCATGTTTACAAAAGCAGTAGGGACTTATTATCAATTTTAGAAAAAAGTCTTAACAAATTATTGCCTGCTTACTAAGCAGGCAATAACCAAACTTTTTTTTTTTTTTTTAAAACCTAAACATTTAAATTTTTTTTTTTTTTTTTTTAACATGAAAAAACTGAATTAAATTACCTAAACAACAATAAAATTAATATTATTTATAAAATCCTAACCACACCATAGGAAGTTAAAAATATTAAAAAAGAAAAGAAAAGTTACTTAGTAAGCAGGTGATAAACCTACTACTTTTCCTAAGCATGCTTGGTAAACAGAAATTGGGCCAGCCTGACTGGGAAGCCATTATCATTTCAACAATTCTATCACATTTAGAATTTACCAAACACTGGACTAGCCATTAAAAGTTTTATCAATAAGAACTTGATAAGCTAATATCCACAGAGCTTGTCAGTTAATTTAACTAAAAAGATATTTGTTTTCAGAGATACAATGTTTGGATGTTTATTCCTGAGAGAGTTTTACAAATCATTATTATGAATAAGGTTTGATAGAGCAGACTTAAAATATTAAGGATGAATTTATATATGTATACATAACAAAAAAAAAAATAAATAACTGTCCTGTAACTATTGATGAAAAAGTATAGAATACTTTGAATCCCTTATTTAAAAAAAAAAAAATGACAGGTCACTAGATGGTTAAAAAACTGAAATGTCAAAAAAACAGAGATAAGAACTTGTAAGCTATCTGCAGTAATTAATATCTCCACTAATTAAAACAAATAACTATGGTATAGATAGTGACTTCTGTCAGTAGATTAAAAAAAAAAACTATTTAAATAAACTCAATCCCTTCAAACTTTTGGTCACCAATTTTGGTCTCAGACAGTAGGACATGCCCATTGATATTGAATGCTTGAATATATGATGCAATGTTGCCATCATCTTCTTCTGACTTTAATGCAATTATCACAGTGTCTTGTGTGCTAGGCACAAACTTAAATGTTGAGTAGCCATGAGTTGGGTTCAGGTTTCCAATACGAGTGACCTTGACTTGACCAAAATGTTCATTGCAACTTAACAGAATGTTGGTTGCTCTTCGCTCATCAGCTGTTTCATCATATGCCTGTTGGCTGAGGCGTCTTGGCAGGAAGAACCAACGCTGGTGGACTGCGCTCCATACAGCAGATTCATGGATCAAATAACCTACAAAGAAAAAGAGTCTGTATTAGAAATGAATATCTTATAGTAGCACTTCTATGGACCATATGTGTTGTCTTAGTACTTGGTAGAAATCATCTGAAAATTGCAATTTTGGCAGAATGAAGAGTAACAATTTAGATGACTAATCAAAATAAAAGATGACAGACTCGTGAGTAGAGTACACAAATAGATTTAATATTTCTTCATTTTTAGTTAAGAAGTTGCTAAGACAAATTTATGTTCACACATAGGCAGAATAGGAATCTGACATTTTCCTACATGCTAATATACATAGTTATAGAAAATTAATTTTATTATGATTTTCTATGTAATTTTAAACAATTTTACCAATTCTCTATGAATTTCTAGATATTTATTAATCTTCAGTTTAACAAGATAAACCACTTTGAAATTTTATAAATTCCCTTCTATAATACCAACACATGAGCAGTGAAATGAGAACAGTCTACACCTGTAGATTAAATAAAAGGTTCAGTTCAGAATTCCCTGCAGTTTACCCAGATCATACATCCGAAGAATACTGGAGGACACAATGGCCAAAACATGATAACAACAACAAAGATGAGGACAATAGCCTGAATATAAATTCAGTCAATAATGATAACTTCACATCCCAGAAACTCATACAGAAAAAGGGGCTTTTTTTTCTCTTGGGGACGGTTCTAGATCTGGACACCTATAATTCTTTAGACTGTGGAAATCCATAAATCAGTCTTAAAAAAACTCCATCTACATCTACTGACTAAATCAACACCGGCTCATTTTTTATAGCATGTAATATTTATAATGATACAATTTTTGCAATTGCAGAAGGTTATAATTATTTTTATTTGATAAGAAACATAGACACTCTATTAAATTCTATGTTGGATTTTTAGCCCTCTGTCAGGTTTATATAGACATTTTCCTTAATTTTTCACTAATATCTCCTGTCTACTTGAACCTTATTTCAAAGAGCCAATGTGCTCCCTTTTTTCATCTGTTTGACCATCATATCTCATGGTATAAACCAGGGGGCTTCTCAGCCTGAGTTATTTCAACTGTTGGGTGGGTGATGAGCAACTGAACAGAAAATGGTGGCTAATATAGGATTTTAAGTATTAAAAAGGTATTACAACATATGCTACCTGAAAAAAATATTCCAAGGAGATATGAAAGAACCTGTATAAATAAAAAAACAGGAGGCGAATTGGGAATGACTGGATCACATTTCTAGATAAGATATAAATATCCCTGTAAACAAGAAATATTTTTGTATTTTCTATATAGTTTTCAATAGTCAAGTTTACTTTCATTTGTTGTTTAATAGAGTAGTAGCAACAGCACCTGCCACACAAGTCAGTATTATTTGTTAGCACCCTTTATTTTTTACTATATCATAAGTATAATTTTACGAACTAGTAACAAACTTTTACCAAACAATTTTGGTATGCTTTTGAATATTTATTATACAGGTGGGTGGTGGAAAATTTTTCATGTGAAATTGGGTGATGATGCAAAAAACGTTGGGAACACCTGGTATAAAACTTATTTATAAGTCAATAGATTCCTTGCGTTATAATACGGAAATGTTATCCACAGTTTTTGGTAACATTTTTCTCACCACATCTGACCATTATGAGGATAAATGTTTTATGTAGTTTTACTGTAGAAAACAATTCTAATAATGCAATGATTTCCATATAATTTTATGGGTAACCCACTTGTGATGATGCATTTCTGCACATCACTGCACAAGCTGTGATGACATCCAAGGTCGGCTGTATGCGAATACACCAGCACTTGCTATATTCCACAGATTCATCTCAATATTAGGGCTGTGATCAATATCAACAAAGAATAATGACAAATGCCTTTCCAGACACTTGTTTGGTCAGGAAGTAGTAAAAAAAAATTTTAAAAAATACAATTTCTCACTTAATCAGCAATGTCTTCCTTCTTTGAGAAAACAAACTTCTGATATTTGACTTCTCACTAAGTTCTGGCCACAGAAAACAGACCCCTGCATACTCACTGCTTGACCATTTCATCAATTACTCATTATATAGATACTGCTGGCAGACCCACCACCCCTTTCCACCCACCCGTGTTTCACCAACCAGACAGCTTTTGGGTGATCAGTCTTTCAGAAGACCTTACTTTTATGGCTATCTAAAAACACTAACAAAACTTTGACAATTCAAAGGTGGGCTGGAGACAGGATTCCTGAAAAATCCAGGTCATTAAATTGATTTAAAAGGATAAAGAATCTAGCTATTCATCTAAGGATGTGTGAGAAATCATATTACAACAGTCTTACATAAAGTCAGTTAACTGTAGCTTTGTCTACTTTGATTTTGCCTTTCTTTTGATCAAATAAGTCAGTGGGTAATTATTTCTTGAAAGGATGCTACATAAAAAGTAGAATTCATGCTGAAGGGTGTCAATTATAATTTTTGTTCAATATTGAAACCAAGAAACTATTCTTTTCTTTAAACAGAAAGAGTGATGTGAATTAAAACTCAAAGGCAACTTTTGTTAGCTTTCTATGTAAATAGTTTAAACCTATATTATGTTAGCCATCAGCAAAGTTAAGATGATGTTAGATACATGCAAGGTCTGCTTAACCAATGAAAAACAAAAATAAAAATACCAGAATTTTTTTTGTCCTCCTCATTTCATTTTTTGATGAATGTTTAATAAAAGTAAAACATGTTAAATTTATAAACATTTCCTATTTGTTCCTTATCATATCATTCTGTTGAATTCCAATCTACATTTGATGCCAATTCATGAGTGTTAGTCTGATGGAGTTTACAGGATTCAGAAGTGCTTGTACAGTTTGTTTTTTTTTGGTGGGAGGGGGAGTTTATTGGTTTTCATAATGTTGTTTTAAGAAATGTTTAAAATAAATCCATTGAGACAAGATATTACCAGAAATAATAATGATCCCATAATTGAACATGCCAATATATATTTGTTCCTATCTGAAAATGTTTAATATGCATACAAATTAAAAAATGTGTGTGTAGCAGAATGGCTACAATGTTAGTATTCCAACCAGGAGACCTGGGTTCAAAATCTCACCATAGTCAATTTGTTAAGGCTTTCTTGATATTATTGACCTGAGGGAGACAATCCCATTCAATTAATCCATTTTCTACAGTTTATCAACCCTTTTCAGGTTATTTAAAGTCAAAAATTATTTTTATATTGTAAGAATTTTGATGGGGAAGATAATGATTTAGTAATACAAGTTTTACTAATTATTATTATTAACCCATAGCCGAAGGGGAAAAGAGGTGGGTTTATACCTTTCCCCAAGAATATTTGCAGACAAATGAATATAAAAACCTAACTGGAATTGAAACTTGGCTCTCCAATTAACAATTCTGAGCCATTATCCATTACACTACCCACACATCTAAGTTTATATCACCTGATATTCCAAAGCAGAAACCCATCTAGGTACTAAACATTGCTTAACTTTTATGATTGTATGAGAACTGGTGTTTTCAATGTGATATGGCTGTAAGCAGACAATCCCAATGTGCAGCACAATTGAGAAGTTCCTGAAAAAAAACCATACCAAGGGCTGACCTAAGTCTAGTGACTGTTCAGAAGTGATCATTGGCTGTACTAGCACAAAGTGACAAGTCATTGTGATCAAGAGTTTGAGTTCAACTACTTATCATACAAGATTATGTGCTCTCTTCCAGAAACTGTATCTATGGTCCATTCAGCATAGTTGCAGTACAAATTGCATTTGACTATGTGGGTGTTGAAGAAACACAAATGTTTCATTGAAGAAGCATCTGCAAAAGAGATTTGTTAACAGACAGGCCAAGTTTTGAAACAAGCAGCCAACCCATTACCATTATTTAGAGAAGTTCACAGTTTTAATGCAAAGACATCTAATTGTAGGCTTACTTAACTAGACTGATGTTACTTTATCAAGAAAAATAATAATGACTAATCTATTTTAAAATTGGCACACTATGATTTTATATAGTCAGTGGCTTAAAAGAAAAGCAAAAAAAAAAAAAAAAAAAAAGTAATTAATAAACTTACCAGGCAGCAACGTTCCAGTTTTCTTTCTTAATGCATTATAATTTTCATGCCAATCAATGTGAGTGACAGCACCATTACGATCAATTACCTTAACCCATTGAGGGTTCAGGTTCTGTACAATTCCTGTGCGTGATGTCCACTCTTTGCCTAAACTTCCTACATAAAGCTTCTCATCCTTCACACATGCCCACTCACACTTGAAACCTGAAAGTTAAAAAATAAAAATAAAATAATATCTTACACAGACAAACACATTGAAGTGTCCAGGTTTTTTAAATGCTATTTTGGAAGTATTACAAATTTTCCTGAATATAAAGGCTTTTTGAAGAGGAGTGAAAAATGCAAATACAAATTTATATACTCTGAATTCATGTAGGTATTTTAAATAAATTTCACATATACTTTCATATCAACATGTATGATGTAGTTTACAGGCATGAATTTACAGTAAATGTTTCTTTGTCTTGTTTAACCTTTAACACACTGCATTATTCACTACTTTCCTTTCCACTGTATTGTTTTTCAAGGTTCCTCTACTGCATTACTTAATTTCAGTCATGGTCATTTTTTGTTGCCATAGCAGGATATGACAACACAACTGCAAAATTCAAACATGATATTATTCATTCATTTGAGTCACTTACAATGGCAGAATAAAATTTTTGCTTTGCAAATAAAATCACCTCCAGAATGTTAAAGGTTAAAACCATGTACTATATTTCTATAAAAAATGTACTAATTACCAAATTATGGACATATATTATTTTATATATGTTAAATATATTATTGGATTTGAAACTGTTATAACAGTTCCATTTGTCAATAAGCTATCAAAACACTTTAGTGACTGATAAACAATGAATATTTAACACGTCTATCCTATTGGTGTCTTCAGCATTTAGTAGAAGAAAAGAATTTTATTTTGATGCTATGTGGTAATTGCAGATATGTTACAGAAGCTGGTGAAGTTCTCAAAGGGCCAATAGGCCAGAATTAGGTTAGTGACATTATTACGAGAAATGAATTTTAAAACATTAAAATTTGAATAATGTGCTATTTCCACTAATGTCCAGTATAATACTTGTAAAATCTGTAATGCTCACAAAACATTAATTTGAACTACAGACTTTAAGCCCTCAACTTTATCCATAGACCTATTCCTTGATATATAATGAATATTGTTTTAACCAAGTGTAGAAAAATAGGAATTTGTGCTTAAAACATAATCAGATTAGTAATAATATGTACAAAATGGAGAGAAATGGATTATCTACTAAAGATTATATTAAGCAAGGTGAACTTCCTACAAATGTATTTAATCTGCAAAATAAAAAGTAAGATGGCATATGGATATAATTTTATCAATCAATAAATAATCAATATAACATGAAAAGCATTTAGAAAGCAGTCAAAATAATTTACTTGCTCACAAGTGAAAATGGCTGTACTTAAACTAGTAATTATACAGAGAATCAAGTTCAGTACAAAAAAAAAAAAATCGTAACTCATGTAGGTGGATTCATATCTTTCCCAAGAGTATTTGTGCTTAAGTGAATATAACAAATCCAAAAGGAATTGGAACCAGGCTCTCTGATTAACAATTCCGAGCCATTATCCATTATACCACACACACATCCAAGCTTAGAGTACCTGGTATTCCCAAGTGGTCAACCATCTAAGTACTGATCAGGCTCAACATTGCTTAACTTTGGTGATCATATGGAAACTGGTGTTTCAACATAAGTCCCCACAAAAAATTAAATAACCTTACAATCAATAGCAAGATTTCTAATAACCTATTTATTAAAAATAATCTATTTCTTTGTGAAGGTAGGGACTAAGTAATTTTTGATGATAGAAAAGTCATTTCTTGCAAGATTTCTAACAACACAGAATGAGCAAAAAGTTGAGAACTCCAAACAGAATTAGAAAGATATTTTTGTAGCTATACTGAAGTGCTCCAAAAATTACAAACAGCTAATAACATAGTTCCCCCTTTGCCTTAATAATGGCAGCAACAAGATGTGGCATGGGGTCTACAAGGCACTGCAGTCATTACATGGGTATATTTATCTGGGTACATTCCAGAGTTCTCCAAAACCAAATTGTGTTTATTAGGTGTAATGGCAAAGAATTTATTGAGATCTACAATATGTCTCTTACACACTTAATGGGTTTAAATTTGATAAGGGCCAATGTAGCAAAGTAATCTTGGAACTAATTTTGGGTCACTCATGCATGATGTAGAGTTGGTGTGTCATCTTGCTGGAACAATTACTACAGAAAAACAGTGCAAATAGTCTACAATAAAATCTATGTTTATTACCAGAAGAGACTAAATTTCATTTGTTATCATTTCAAACTTCAGTGGAACAAAGTAAACACTATTATAGAATCACTACCACTTTGCACAACACCGTACTGGCATGATACAGTCTCTTCCACACATAAACTTGACTTTATGCATGAAAGCACTAAAAATATGACTTATCTGATGTAGTGAACTACCACAGAGGGCAAAGAGTCCCAGCGTTGCATGCATTTTTTGCAACGCTAGAATAAGGTAACTTACCTCCAGCACAAACAAAGATTTGAATGTGCCTCTTGCATAAAATGTCCAAAGAAAGAAATGGCAGCTTTACAGGTTACATATTTAAAAACAGATAAATCTTGGAGTCAGATATTCTCAAGTTAGATTAGCTTTGTGAATATGTAAATTTTGGCTGTAAATAATAGATAAAGACAGGGAGAAAAAGGCAACAGGCAAACAGCTAACTGCTGTGTTGAACAGGCTACACATGTCACAGACATTAGAGTGTTTGAGAGGAAACTGTTTGCGGGCATTGTTTGCAAGGAAAGTAACAAAAAGTTTTTTTTTGCTACAAGCTATTTCTGAATTTTTCTACAAGATGGCAGAGAGGCATCTGATATCAGCTTGATTCCTGAATTTAGTGGTGTTGCCACAGATTTACCAATCGTGGAGTGGATTGAGAACATTGAGTTGGTATGTGAGCTGTGTGACATGAAGAGGATCGAGTGCATCCTGCCACTAGGACTGAGACGTGGGGCTCTTGCCATATAACGGCAACTAAGTAAAGAAGCAGAGCTCAGATACAGACCAGATAAAGCAAGCCCTTGTGACTGCATATGCAATGGACTCCGTCAATGGATTTGACCACTTCATGGCAAGGAGACTTTGTACTAGGGAAACTGTCGATGAATTTTTGGTGGAGTTACAGCGCTTGGCTCAGCTGGTTGCTGGACAGTTGCCCGACTAATGGATGGTACACGCATTCATATCTAGCTTCATATCTAGGACATTAGAGAGCTTCTTAAAACATCGTCCAGAATAGAGATTATAACCTTGGAGCAACTTCTAATCCAGGAAAGGGCCATTATGACTGATAACCAAAAACCTGAAGTCAGTCACTGCATCCATTCAACAAACACATGCTGAGAGGCCTCCTTCTGACATGTGCAAGGATGGCATAATTTGTTTAAATTGTTTCCCAACCATTTTGCTATGGACTGCAAACAAGGATACCTGGAGGGCATAGATAATGGGGTGTACAGATCATGCTGTGATGTGCGTTCTTTCTTTGCACAAGTTTGGACACATCTTGTTCTTGATTACAGGGAATTGAACCATTTTGTGGAAGCAATCACTGCTGATGTGGATGTGTGCACCCAGAAGTTGAGGAAATGGTGGCAGCAGGGGAGTGAATTTGTCCCTGTTAGATTTGAGAAAAGCTTACCTATAGATACAAGTCGACAAGGTATTGTGGTACTTTCAAACCATGCTGAAGTAGTATTGCCTTATGCAATTAGGATTTAGCTTAAATTTTGCACCTCTCATCATGAAGGCTATTATTGACTTGGTCATGTCCCAGAACACGTCAATCAAAGATGCCACAGTAGCTTATATAGACAGCACATTTGGCAACAAAGCTTTGGTTTCTACTGCACGGGTGAGGGACCATCTATCCAATTATAGACTTACTTGCAAAGACCCAGAGAGACTGAAAGATGAGACCAAAGTATTGGGCTGCAAGCCTAGTGGGGAGAATAGTACTCAGGAGTTGCATTGGAAGTGAACAGAGGTATTGTTGAGGATGCTTGTTGGTCGAGTCCAGCAGGAGATGCTAAGCATATTAATTTAGCAGAACTCAATGCAATGATAAAAGGCATAAATCTGGCACTCCAATGATAGATGATGGTCTTGCACCTGGTCACCGACTGCATGCGTTCATTGCTGGATATCAGACACTTTGCTGGGAAGGCACATGTGAAAGTAAGGACAGCCAGTAAGATGTTGATAAGATGGTGGTTGGAAACACTTTGCAGACTGGTTGACAAGTATGCATTAATAATGGACGTGAAGCTGTTCAAATCTGTGCTAAATCAAGCAGATCACCTTGCCAGAGTGCCCAGGGGGTGGTTGGAGCTGCACAAGGAAGAAGCCGAACCTGCAGAACTAGGGTGTGCCACTGTAAGAAAGTTGAGCGAGAGTCAGGTAGTTAACATCTAACATCCACCAACAAAGTGGGCACCGAGGTATGAAGAGAACAAAGTATTTTTCAAAGTCTGTCAACCCTTCAGTATCAACAAAAGTCGCAAAGCCAGTCATCAAGAATTGTAAAGCTTGCCAATCTATTGACCTGGCACCAGTACACTGGCAGAAAGAAAAGCTGAGAGTGAAAAATAACTGGAACAGGTTAGCAATGGATATCACACAGTATGGCAGTGAACACTTCCTAACACTTATTGATTGTAGTCCATCTCAATTTGCAACATGGTAATTGCTTCATCAACAAGACTCCACCAATGTCACTAACCAATTAACATCAATACTTTTTGAGCGAGGTCCACCAACTGAAATCTTAACTGTCAATGACACAGCTTTCACATATGGGGACTTCAGAAAATTCTTCAGTGACTGGGGTGTGCAGCTTCGATTCCAATGTGCTTATGTACCAACCGGGAATGGTATAGTCGAAAGGAATCACAGGAGCATTAAAACCAGTGTTGCTAGAAAGCAGTGCTCCATACCAGAGGCAGTCTACTGGCATAATGTCACACCTAAGGACAACTTCTCACTGTCTACAGCATTACATCCATGTATGAGACATTGATGCAACACCTTCGCCTAAACCATGGAATACTCAAGGAGAATACAAGATGGGAATCATTGTCTCCGTTAAGACTCCACAAGCGAGATATATGGGCCTCATAATAAAGGTCAACAGTTCGCAGTCAGTAAAGGTTGATGGAACTCCCCACCATGTGTCACTTTTTTGACTTGTGTCACTTTGGCGGGGGGGGGGGTCATATTCTGTATCTGAATATGGAGGTGATTCAACAGAAAGCAAGCTGTTAGTTGACTTGAGATCAACTTCACCAGGTGATTCTCCTGATATCAGCAGTGTGGAGTCTGGCGCAGAACCCAATGTCTTGTCCAGTGGCAATTCATTTGAGGAGGAGAACCCAGCAGGAGAGACACCCCCGCCGGTTGCATTTGCTGTGAACTACTGCAGAGGGTAAAGACGCCTAGGGTTGCATGCATTTTTTGTAACACTAGAATAAAATAATTTACCTCCAGCATGAACAAAGATTTGAACATGCCTTGCATGTAAAATGTCCAAAGAAGAAAGAAATGGTGGCTTCATGAGTTACATATTTAAAACAGATAGATCCCGGAGTTGGATACTCTCTCACAAGATTATCTTTGTGCATATGTAAATTTTGGCTGTGAATGATAGCTAAAGACAGGGGAAATGGTTTAGTGTTGTGTCAAACAGGCTACATGTGTCATGGACAGTAGAGTGTTTGAGGATTGCAGGCATTGTTTGCAAAACAAAAAACAAAAGTTTAAAGCTTTTTTGTTACATCTGAGCAGGTGACAACACCAGTCTTCTATCTTTCAATAGTAACATTCTCTGGCTAAGGTGAGGTGTAGTAACCAACTTTGTAATATCAGTGATAATACTGTTATGTACTGATGACTACAAAACCCTATGGAATGAATACTGTACAGTTTAGTGACTAATAGTTTGAACAACATCTGCACTAAATTGGGTGGGATTTGATGCAAAGTTCCCCATCTTTGTCAATCTTCAGCTATTCCATTCTTGCATAACCTATAGGTACCTACAACTTTAACAAACTACTGATATCTGTCTATAATTTACATAAACCTTGCTACACCCCTGTTACTACTGAAACAGAAAAAACTAGAGCAGAGATGAAGTAGTCAATCATTCTAGTCCCATCAATCATTCCATATCCCATGGATGACACAGTTACATTACTTTACCTATTACATCACATAAATCATCTGGTTGAATCCATTTCTACAACTGAGGGAGAGCAAAAGCTTCTAGTGCAATTCAATTTATTTTGAAAACCACAACCTTGAGACAAATTTAAAGAAATTTACACTGTGAACATATCAAAACAAAACTCATACTGTAGCGATTAAAAGACAGAGCCACTTTCTTTAATGAGATGACAATATTTTGCTCAGATATAAAAATTATAACAGAACTGGAGCTAACATTTGTACTAACAAATGATATAATTTAACAATGAAATGAGACAAATAAAAATATATATTATCATATCTAAATAGAAAACATCTTTTTTGGTTGAGGACTGTTCACGTACACACTCAGATGGATTAACTGCCACTAATATGAACACAAAGGCAAATATCAATACATCAAGTGTATGTCATATGAGGGTGCTGAAAATTTTTATGTCCGTTCACTGAAATACTAATTATAATCTACAGATAACACTTATTGCTACCTTTTGTTACTAAGTTTGTTGATTTGAATCTACAGTAGGGGAATATCCAGATCAGCTCACCTGATATGCAAGTAGATAACTTCTACATAAAATACAGAATGGAATGGATTTTTGAAAGGTCAGATTTCTTGCTAATGCTTAGCTTAAGCTGACTATGATTCTATGCCGACTTGTCAAAGATCAACAGATTAACAATTTGAATTAAAAAGTAAATGACATTTTAATACATATTTACTCTCTCAAAATAAGATTTTTTTTTTGTTATACTTTCAACACAGATTAATGGTTAAATGTCCCCTCTCCCCACTCTCAAAGAACTTGGATTAAAACTATAATTTTTTTCAAACTATGAAGCGCTATTATGGTAACTTACAATTAAAATTATCACTTCTTAATTGAATATTAGATATACAATGTTGCAATCTTATTTACAGCAGAAAGATGAAGATTTGAAAAAATGATTTGAAATTTATAAATTACCAAATAAGAAATGGAAGTTCCAGAATAGGCAAATAGATACATTTATAGACTATTACATATTTGCTTGCTCACATAATTACTGTATATACTTGGGTACACTGAGTTTTTAAGACCAGTTTTTTGTTTTTTTGCACAAAAAAAAAAAAAAACAACATGCATTTTTGGTGACCAGTTTCACTATACAGATTAATTTTTCTGCAGTGATTAAAATTCATGCAAAAAAAAAAAAAAAAAAAAAAATCCAGGAGTTGCAATATACATGAAGTCATATACTGAGGAAATATAAGATTCACTAGTGACCACAGAAGCAGACTGAAATTGGATTATGGTAGATTGGTAACATTAGTGATGTATAATAAATTTAACACATACAAATACAAGATGGTGTTATTAAACCACCAGTTTCCTTGAATTTGCATTGTCATTTAAAACAATATAGCATTTTCCAATTTGCTTAAAATATTCCCTTCACATTACTAACAAAAACATTAATTATTATTCTTCCTAAAATAAGCTTTTAATACTTGCTTTGGAAAACTATCTTCCCTACAATTATTATGGATATCAATGGTAACCATGTTAAAGAGCCAAGATAAAGGTGAAGGTATTCTAATGGTTATCAGCATAGAAAAGGATTCAAATTAGTTTCATACAATATTCCCTTGAGAAAGGCATGAATCTATTACTTCTCCACAACCCAGCTATGGGTTAAGTAGTAGGGTTGACCGAGCTCTCTAGACTTGGCTGGCAACCAGTCTAGAACAAAAACGGAATTTCAAACAATGAAGGCAACAGGAAACCACTCTGGCATTTCTCCCCATTCTACAGCAATTCATAGATTCAAAGAAAAGAAAATCACCTGACTTAGATTTAATTTTTTGACTTAATAATAGACATGTAAAAGATATTTTATAACACTTAAGAAAATGCCAATATGTTGTGTTTGTTCTGTTTTTTTGCAACATTGAAAAAAAAAAAAAAGCTTCATGTCAAGATTTTAAATAAAATAAATTCACAATATGAGACAGGTTGAAAACATCAATTTCATTAAAAAACTGATTTATTTCATTTCTATAGTGAAAAAAAAAAAGAATCATGAAAATAAAGATTTTCCAAGTCACTAAGTAATAAGTAAGTATAGCTGTCAAGAAGATGGAAAAATTAAGGTTATTATTTTTTTCAATCTTCTGGTTTCAGTTAAAAACTGACTCAACTAACATGAAAAAAAAATTTAAAGAGCAATGAAAAAAAAAACAGAGCTTAGGTTAATTGACTGTTTTTGGCAACAATTTTAAAAAATGCTATTTTTGACAACACTAAAAAAACTAAAACAATATGAAAACAAACATAAAAAAGCAACAAAAAATATTGGCTTCACAGAAAATTGATTTTTTTTTAATTTTATTTTTATATGTTATTCACTATCGTGTGCTGTCAATTTTTATTTAAGTTCTGTTATTTCACATTTAGTTTGAAAAAAAAATCCAATCCATGAATGCCCTGATGGCCTTATTAAAAAAGATTTTAAAATGTCTTTACCCCTTTTTTTTAATTAAAAAATGTTTTTTTAATTACACTGCCTACTTTTTATTGACATTTTTGTACCTTGGGTGGCAACCAGTCTAAAATATGAAAACTCTGAATTCCAAACAGGAGAGAAGTCATGGCAATTCAAAAGAAAAGGCATGAAGTCATGATCGCCTATGTCCTGAAAGGACTTGGTATTAAAAAAAAGATTAATTGGATAAAAAGTCAACTGTTCAAAATAAGGTGGAAAAAAGAAAAAAAAAAAAGAGTACCTGATTATCTATTTTTGGGGGAAAACGCTTTTCAAAATATCAGTAGACAATTTATTAAAATTAAGTCATTTCACGTTTTTTTCGGCGTGATGCAATGGTTAGCAAGCTTGTCTCGCGAGAACAATTACAACTGAGTAGTAAGTTCGATCCTCACTGGGTGCCACATACTTTCGGCCTTGCTGCCACATCTAAGCTACGCTTAGAAAATCGACTTAAAAACATGATAAAGTAAACAAAACTCCTAAGAAAAGAAGAAGCTATATTGCCATTGGTTTACAATGCGTGCACATTTTTTTTAACTGGAATTGAAGTTTGTTTTGAAGGTTTTTTAGGATTCAAGGAACTATTCATAACACTAACAGGTTTTGTTTTTATTTTATTTTAACTATTATTTTAAAAAGATTGAGCAACATAAAGCAAACAAACACTTAACAATTTCCCCAATCATGTTGTCGAAAAAAAAAAAAAAAAAATAAGTTTTAAAGAATTTTTTTTAGCATGACTCCTCTCTAGATTCCTTTTCTTCTATTTTTCGATTCCTTTTTTACAATACACAGAAAATAGAGAAATGGAATTGCAGTCAGAATCATGGCATTAAATTTTAAGTTAAAAATGGATGTTTTAATCATTAAAACATCCATTTTTAACTTTGATGTAGATTACATTACATTTACAACAAAATAAATTTTTAAAATATTTTTATTTTTCAATGCTAAGAAGTTGAATAACAAAGGAAGTTCGTGTTTAGTTTATTTGTAGAATTTAAAATTTTTTAATTATTCCATACTACTGTCCCTCAATTTTCCTATCATAAACTTTGATTTTTCTTGCTTTCTAAAAATATCTGTGAGGCAAGGCAGATCAGGTCATGATTTTTTAAATAAATAACTTTTTTTCATTTAACTACAACGTGTAACAGTTTAACTTTAAAATACAAAAAATGTTCTCCACATTTTATAGGTGTTTTTATTTGATAAATTTGCTTTTTAACGCCCGCGCTAAATATCTCTTTACTTTTTAAGTTAACTAAAACTTATTTATTTGTAGTTAATAAAAAGGTTTTATTAAAAAAAAAAAAAAAAAAAAAAAATAGAATGCTCTTTCTACAAATTGAAAAAACTCCGGTGTTTTTTGTTAAAATTTAAAATACAAACAAGTTAAATCTTTTGTATTTTTCTACTTAAAAAAAAAATTGTTTTGAGTTTTGGCAGCAAAGAAAAGTATTAATGTAAAAACTAAAGATGATTCAGACAAATGATAAACGTAGGTAAAAAGAGAGAAAAAAATAATGCCATATCAAGTCATAGAATTATTTATGATAGGATGGCCACATAACTTCATTTACTTAGTAAATTATGATCGAAATAATAAAAAAATAATAGTAAAAAGAAAAGATGTTAGTGGCACAACGTTTTTAAATGTTAAGAAAATAACTTTCTTTTGCTGTAGTAAACATCAATGATGATAAATGGGAAAAGGCGAATACCGTAAACAAAAATTAAAACAAAAACTAAAACACTAGTCTAAAAACATAAATGTAATCCTGTTATTAAAACAAAAATCGAATTTAAAAAATGTAATTGCTTTCTTAACTAAAAACAGAAACTAAAAAGCTATGAAATGATTATTTTGTTTTTTAATAATCTTTTAAAAACGTTGCTATAATTCGTCTCATTATATAAAGAGCTTATACACTAAATAAAGAAGAAATAAAAAAAATATTTCTATATAATGAATCTTATCCTTTTTACCATCTTTAAAATTAAAAGCATAAAGATCCAAAAATCTACTTCCTGCTATTAAAAAAGTCGTAAGCAGACTCAAGCATTCACCTTCTGTGACATAAGTAAACAAAATTAAGACTATTCTTTTTTGCCGCTTTCTTTACTAACAGGATTTATTTGTAAGTTAAAGAAGACAGTCGTATTTATTTTTGTTCACACCTTTAAAAAGTTAGGAGCTCAAAAGAAAACCGGAAGACAAGATATGTAGATAACCAGGGTTCTCTTTTTATTTCATATCCTCTTGCAAAGTGCCTATGATTGATTTATTTTAAACAATAACATTTCAGGTGTTGAAAGGAAGAGATACAATAATAAAGAAAATGGGAAATTTCAAACGAAGAAAAAACGTCTCTCACCTTTGTTACTGATTCCATTACCATCTGTTAGAATAACCCAGGGAATCACCTGTTCGTTTCTGATCAAGTAAATCACACCTGTACGATCATCAACCGTGTAGAGCTTACCGTCGAAAGTAACCAACTCGGAAAGTTCCATGCCACGTCCACCTTGAGAAAGCGACGAAGTAAGAGTAAGCATATTGGGCCCGGTTTCAATCTCTACTGAAGACCAGTCATCTGATATGGTCAAATTGCCAAACTTCATGAAACTGACCCACGTGTTCTTCTGGAACTTGCTCTGTGAGTTTGTGTCCAGATCTGTGATCATGGCGATTCTGTATTTCCATCCCTTAGCTGTTAAAACTGGCTTTGTTAATGGGTAAGTAAAATTATAAGGGCTTGAAAATGCTGTGCCCTGCTGCTGAGGTTGCCGGAGATCATAGTCTGGACATTTAAGAGCCAAGCTGCCAGGACTTGGTAAAAACATGACAAGAAGAATGAGAAGGGCGCTGGCAAAGATTGCAACATAGGCAACCAGACGAGGTTTGAGATGAAGTTTAGCATTGCCAACCCGGTAAGGTACGGGACGGCGTATAGCAACCATCCAGTCATGGACTGTGGAAGGATAGTTTCCCTTCATATCATAATCCATAAAAGTGTCTGGGAGATCCAGATGGGCAGATTCGATTAAGTAATTCATAGGAAAAAAGCTCGACGTGTTCCATGCTGGTTGTCGTCTGTCGTCATGTTTCTCCCCCCTATAGAATGACTCCGCACTAAATGCAATACCAATTTGAAAATAATCTTTAAAAAAAAATAACAATTAATTTTAAAATGCTAAAAATTAGAGTATATTTTTAGCAATTTTTGCAAATACTAAAATAATTTTTATTTGATAAAATATAAACTTAAGTAATAATAGACAAATAATTGGGATATTTCACTGCAGAGTTATTATACACGTGCCTTTTTTTATTAAAGAAGATGGCGTCACGAATATCCAATCTCACAGAGCAGCAGGTAAGAGAAATGTCAAAAATATATTTTATTTTATTCCTAATGATTTTTAAAAGTCATTAATTCATAACGATTGATTATTTAAATTCCTAGTGATTTTTAAAAATCGTTATTAAACTCATAATGATTTATTTTAGTTACCCACGTGGTCGCTAATCGAAATATTTTTCCTGGAGCAGAGAAACATTTTTTTTTAAATATTTAATTTTTAAGAAATTAATAGGCTGCATAATTATTTTTACTATGTTCTTTTCAGTTTATTTAACGTACTTTGATACAATGCAATAAACTCACTTTCCTAAAGAAAACTTCAGAACATTTTTCTTGGGGTACAGACAGCTTTTCGAACTGAACGGAAACTAAACCATCAGATTTTGTGAGCAAATTATTTTAAAAATTATGTTAAATCACTGTCATTTAATAATAATGTCGGTTTTACAATTTTAAACGATTTTTATATATTAAATATTTGATTATCTTCTTTAAATGTGATGTCAATGTAGTATTTAGCAAGTTTTCTGTAAGCAAAAAAAATAAAAATTATTTTTTTTTTACAAATTTGCGAACAATAATTCAGAAAAACGTTGAGAAATAAGATAAAAATGGTCGGACCAATTTATACCAAAAATTAAAACGAAAATAATGTAGTGTTACGAAAATAAATCTCTATTCATTTAAAAATTGTTTGAAACGATGAAATCGACTATACACTTTTAACTCCATGAGATCGCTAAAAAAAAAGAGCATAGCATGATGAAAAAGATGCCAAACTTGACGAAAACAAAATTTTATCGTCTAAAAATGCTTGTTATATTATTAAGAGGAAAGACCAAATTTTTTTTTTTTTTAATTATTTTTTAAAAGTTTCCCTTCTTTTTAGAACATTCTAAATTTTGATTAAAAAAACCTTGTTTCTCTTTGTATCACCGGAACTACAATTTTTAGCACGTTTTTTTTTTTTTTTTTTTAGTATGACACACATTAATTTGGAAAATCTTGCAAAAATAAAAATAATTGTCGGATGTTAATGAAACTTTCAGAAACTATTCACAGATGATCGAAATTATTATAAATGTTTTTTTTTTTTTATTAAAGTCATGGCAGAAATATTTTTTATATTTATTACCCCCCCCCCGCCGCCTCCGCCTCATAACTAATTTTCTGAAAACGCTAGAAATTTTCCACCTTATTACATCTTTGTAACAGAGAATCAGGTTGGCCTGGTGAAAAACTTTGAGTTGGTTGTATGTGTTACTGTAAGCACCAGGTGTTGCATCCCCTTCCACAGTGGGCTATTGAGAGAAGAAGATCTATTTAGAATAGGTGACAGACTATTTGCATATGAACGATACTGGGCAGGTGTTAGCCAATGGTCAGCATGAATCTGGGACTGGCAGAGCTATATAACACCAGCATTTTTCTCAGTTGGGAGTGCTCTCAATGTGCAGACATGCAAAAACCAGGCAAGACAAACACGAGTTATTTTGGCGATAGACAGACGATGGCTGACTCCAAATTTGATTTAAAGTTAATTCCCGAATTTGACAGCTCAGCATCCAGTCTGCCAGTGGTTGAATGAATAGAGAAGCTTGAACTCATTTGCAGGCTATTGGAGTGAAGCTTTTGGAGCACGTGACCTCTTTACAACTTACAGGCGGAGCATATGCAGTTTACCAACAACTGGGTGACAAAGCAAAATCCGACATTGACCAGATAAAGACTGCCTTAGTTACAGCCTTTGTTATGGATTTGCTTATGGCATACAAACAGCTCGTTGAGTGGCACCTGCAGTGTGGTGAATTCGTGGGTGTATACCTGGCTGAATTGAAGAAACTCGCATTCTTGATGGGCGGGATGAGTGAACGTATGCTGGCTTGTGCATTTGTGCACAGGTTGCGAGGCAATGTAAAGCAGGCTCTTCATGCATTGTCTAGGATGGACGCACTGTCTATTGATCACCTGCTTGCTCAAGACCAGGTAATTATGAGATCCTATGTGATAAAGGAAGTCTGGCCAATGCAGAGTACAGTCATTCATGTCAGAAAGTGCTTTAGATGCAATGGTATTAGACACATGGCAAAAAATTGTCAGAGCTGACAACATAACATAACGGGACGAGAACAAGGACAACGCAATACCATGAAATGTTACCATTGTCATACTGTAGGCTATATGTCTTGAAACTATGTGAGAAAAGATATGTCAGTGCCAGAATCTTCTCCAGTCCAGCGCTAGTCAATACTAGTTGTTTGCTGAGAGATATGCCACTCGTGGACGAAAGGGACTGTATACATAACAACAATAGACAGGGAAACCAGAGCCTGTTGTGGGATTGGAGTCATTGCTTTCTGGTTGCAAGGTGGAAGTCCTGCCAAGATTGACATACTTGTGGCATGAGAAAAACCACTTGGCTTTGACCTTCTGATTGGGATGAATGCAATTAAAGAACTAGAGGGAGTAGGAATCACTCTTTGGGTGCAGTAGAGTTTTTCAACAAAAAACCATCACTGTGTGGTTCTCATCATAGAGGAACCAGACTTTAGCATTGAGTTTGATCAGAAAAAGAAAGTGTGGAAGGTCATTAGTGATGGCATGCTGCATCATGTTAAAGACCTCCAACCTGCAAGCGACACCGATGATTCATACACAAGCAACGGAGAGTTGGAAATAGGTTCCTGTGTTTTCATTGTGTGGTGGTGATTTATAGCAACAAAACTGAGAATGAAGTACCTCTCCCATATATTGACAACAATGAAGCCGAAGTATCTGTCTTGTGAATGAGCACCAAAAGGAAACACCTGCCCCTGGATGTTGGTGCTGTGATCAGGAGATCAAGGCGGAGTGTAACAGAAATAAAAGAATACAAGTTGGTTGCATGTGGTGCTGTAAGCATCAGGAGTTGTGTCCCTGTTCCACAATGGGCTGTTAAGAGATCTTCTACTTGAGTAGGTGGCACAGACTATTTGCATATGAATGATACTGGACAGGTATTAGCCAATAGTCAGCATGGGTCTCGGACTGGGAGAGCTATATAACACCAGTATTTTTCTCAGGAATGCTCTCAACGTGCAGACGTGCGAAAACCAAGCAATATGAACACAATTTTTTAAGAACTAATTCAAGATGATTCTGTAAACTCTTGAATAAATGGTAATCAGATGAACAAAAATCTGAGGAATAAGATGTATATGAATTTTTTGTAAAAGTTTTTGTTTTAGAGAAAAAGTAAGAAGAGAAAATAGTTTTCACCTCTTTAGATATCGTAAGAACTAGATCCATGATCTCAGGGAGAATTACCAGAGAGCAACATTTTGATCTGATAATATAGATACATTATTTTAATACTAAGGAGCAACACTTTCATCCTCAACAGAACACACAGATACTCTGATCCAGATGCAGATAATCCTGTCTTTGTTTTTTTTTTTTTATATACTGTGTTTGTAATACCATAATACATTAAAATACTATAAGAACTTTATTATACATTAATGTATTCTGACTAGCTGTTGGTTGTGATAGTCACAATATTTTGGCTATTGTACTCTCCAGCCTTCTTTGTGTGTTTGGGAATTTTAACTGAGCCTTTTAATCTAAGAAATATCTTGTATAAGTTAATTCTTAATTTCTGGGATGAAGAGTTGTCATTATTTACACTATTGATATTTGGACTATTGTCCTCATCTTTTTTGTTGTTATTACAATGTTGACTGTTGTGCCCTCCGTCAGTTTTGAATTGAACCCTTTATTTAAGCTCTGGGCGGTAGATATAGATGTCTAGTGATATCTAGTTCTTATTTTTATTTAGCGCTGTTCAGTTATTGCTCCTCCATTTCCACTGAGTGCAAGACCCAGAGATTAAACTCACCATAAACACAAACTAAAACTTTCCACTAGGACAATTTGTTGTAGTGAACTTGGAGCTTTAAATCTAAACTAGCTGCTGATTAGGTTGCAACTGCTGCTTCTGCCAATGATGGGTTCTAAAGAGATTAACATCTGGAAAAAGAAAAAGCAAATAATAAGAATAAAATACACACAAACATCTCATTCCAAGAAGCTAGAAAACAGGTTGAAAATAACTCACTTCAAACATCAAACACAAATACTACTAAAATAATAAATCACCTAAATGCCATACAAGAGAACACAATAAGAAACCAAGAACTTACAACTCTAATAAATGAATTAAAAAAAAAAAAACAATAGAACTACTAAAATTTAGTATACCACTCATAAACCAAATACCCATAGTCAAAACAAATCCTATCCTGTCAACCTCAAACAAAAAAGAATCTATAAGTACAAAACAAATAACTTTGAAAACTCCAATCCAAAGTACAAAAATCCTTCAAGAAATAGAACCCTTCAAACATTCACAAGAGAATCAAAAAGTTCATAAAAGAAATAGAACAACCCAGTACATCACTGAAGAACCAAGAGAAATGGACATAGATTAACAAAACTCAATACCACTACAAATAAAAGAATGGTCAGTATCCAGAAAGGCAGAAACAAAAGACCTTTGAAGAACAAAACATGACAAGAAACAAAATGCTAACAGACCAGAGAGCATAGAAATAATGGGTAAAAACTCATAACACCTAATACATAAGCATAGGTACGTCCACTGAATTTTCGATACCTAAGGTTTAAAATTAAATTTAAAAGCATTCTTTTCATTAAATTAGATTTAATTTTAGCTTTAATTGAAAGCTAAATGATTAAATTTATTATTTCCAGTAAGTAAAATATTCTGGTGTATTTCAGATAGAAATTATATAGATTGGAATGTCAAATAATTGCTTGATAATTTTATTTTTTTTTTTTTTTTTTTTTTTTTTAGTGGGCATTTTCTTAATTTTAAGAAATTTGTAAACAAAACAAATTAATCTGACTTGAAACAATATTACTTTTAGCATAAAAAAAACAATATACAAGCACTTCTTAAGGATGGGTCCCCATTTTCTTTGATCTTTATTGACCAGAAGCTTTCAAGGCGA